TCAGAAAATTGACGGAAAAAGTGGTAGCGTGACAACACCTTTAAGTAAACATGTTCGTGATGAAGAAGGTCGTTCAAGTAGCGGAAGCGATCACGTGACGACGAGGACTGGTTCACCATCGTGTTTGGTTCGACCCGTAGCTTGCAGATGGCGCCACCCGTCTGGGAAAAAAATCATGTGACATTTTAGCGGAAGGTTAGATCAGTAGCTACTCGAGGTGTCATGGCGTTTGATTCTATTTTTTGGGAAAAAAAAAAAAGCACATGGGGGTTTATTTTGATGACGTCACAAAAGTTACGGATGCTTTTTGCATATGGTCGATCATTTTGGGTCTCTTCAATTTTCAAACAGGATGGAAAATAATGATTTTGATAGTTATATTTTCAATGAACAATCATCTAAACAGACTCCATGATACCTCCTCGAGTTACTACTGATCTAGCCTTTCCCGGACACAGCCTTGTCGGCGGGGGAGGGGGGGTATTGTACGCCAATTTTCAATTCGTAAATATGCGTGTGATCAATATAGTTTGTATAATCATGTCTTCAAGGAATATTGCATTACAGTTAGGTAAAACCAATCTTGTAAAGATCATTGACTATTGTTTTTTTTCTCTCTCTTTCTTGGCCTAAAAATAATGCTTGCGTTTGTGAATGTATCGGAGGTTTGGGAAAGAGATGGTGAGTATAAAAAAGTTGGGAACCAGTGATTTATATTATTTTCAAACATGTATTCAGTAGCGCAGAAACAAATAAAAGTTATTATATCTGAGTTAGTATCAATTATGAAAATTATTCACCCAATACAAATACCAACAACTATTTTTTTTATACAACTGATCATTAAAATTTAGTTCTATGGGTCAAATATATTGTTGAAGGATTATAAAGATTTTAATTATGATTTACAAAGATATGTAATATATCACTGTATATTATTATGTTGTGTTAGGCCTGTTTTGATTTTATAATAGGTTTTGTGTGCCAAATGTAAAAGTAAATAAAGTTTATAGACACAGAGTTGATTAAAAACTTTGAAAATGTAATCTTGCCGTCAACTAGTCTGAAGATAATTTTTCTTCTTATCTATTTATCTATCTATTATTTATAATTTCGGCATACTCTGCTAATACGTGGTTAAGTTTGATAAATTCTCAATCAACCAAAAATGGTCATGTGTCATACTACGGCAAGGATAAATAGCAGAGAAATCACGAAATTGAATTCGGAATTACACAAAATTGTAAGAAACAGTTAAAGAATATGTAAGCGCTGACCAATGTTTTATTATTATTTTTTAAATCTACGCTCCCCCTCAAAAAAAAAAAAAAAAAAAAAAAAAAAAAAAAAAAATATATATATATATGTGTGTGTGTGTGTGTGTGTGTGTGTGTGTGTGTGTGTGTGTGTGTGTGTGTGTGTGTGTGTGTGTGTGTGTGTGTGTGTGTGTGTGTGTGTGTGTGCGTGTGTGTGTGTGTGCGTGTGTGTGTGTGCGTGTATGTATGCGTGTATGTATGTGTATACGTATGTGTATACGTGTATGTATATGTATGTCTGTAATACAAACAAACAACCAATTAAAAGAAGCAAGAACTAACCTTTCCCTATCTCTTTTAGGCTCGTTCCAAGGCTGGACATCAGCTGACATGAGCCAGATGTACAGCGTGCAGGTTACCACATAGATGAGGGCGGTGATGATGAACACGAGTCTCCACGCAGCCAGTGACTCTTGCTGGAGAGAGATGGATAGGATGGATAGATAGATACACGGATGGGGACCGGGACTTGTAATTGTGTACTAGATGGGTAATAGGACACCTGGGTGGGTAAGGGGGGGGGGATAGATGGATGGAGGAAGGAGGATGTAATAATATATTATTAGATAGGCAATGGAACCCTTGGTGGATGAGGAGGAGAAATAGATGGATAGATAGATACACGGATGGGGACCGGGACTTGTAACTGTGTACTAGATGGATAATAGGACACCTGGGTGGGTAAGGGGGGAGGATAGATGGATGGAAGGAGATGTAATATATTATTAGATAGGTAATGGAACCTTTGGTGGATGAGGAGGAGAAATAGATGGATAGATAGATACCGGATAGGGGACGGGACTTGTAATTGTGTACTAGATGGGTAATGGACACCTGGGTGGGTAAGGGGGGGGAGATAGATGGAAGGAAGGAGGATGTAACAATATATTATTAGATAGGTAATGGAACCCTTGGTGGATGAGGAGGAGAAATAGATGGATAGATAGATACACGGATGGGGACCGGGACTTGTAATTGTGTACTAGATGGATAATAGGACACGGGTAGGTAAGGGGGGGGAGGATAGATGGATGGAGGAAGGAGGAAGTAACAATATATTATTAGATAGGTAATGGAACCTTTGGTGGATGAGGAGGAGAAATAGATGGATAGATAGATAGATGGATGGAGGAAGGAGTCAGTAATTGGATATATTATTAGATAGGTAATGGCACCCTTGGTGGATGAGGAGGAGAGATAGATGGACCGATAGATAGATAGATGGAGGACGGGACGAGATAATTAGCAACTGTGAGTATTAACACGAGAAGATGGGTGATAGATCCCTTTCTGGATGAGGATTGAGGGAAATAGATGGATAGCTAGATGGGTGTAAGATGGATGTAGATAATTAGTCATCACTGCACATAGATTTTAATGGAACTTTTGTTGGGTAAGGGCAAGACTAATATATAGATGGATAGGAAAGGAAGAGAGAATAATAGATGTATGGATTGACGATGGAAGGATGAAAAGGGGAATGAAGGATGGATAGGTGAACAGGCAGGCAGGTAGACATATATACCAGATGACAGTCACTGATAACAGTAATAACAATAACGAAGATACTAACGCACAACCAGATTCACAATTCTATAATTCTCACAGGATTAGGATTAAGACTAAGAGCCAGAAACCTCAGACAGGGCTCACATTGCCGCTGGTGATGGCCCCGACGGTCGCAGGGGCCAAGAACCCGGTGGCCGATCCGAAGGTGTTGGTGATCCCCAGCAGCGTCCCCGCCAGGTTGGGCGCGATGTCCTGCTCCGAGAGGGCGTTCCCGCTGTAGGACGCGCCGCTGAATCCTAGAGCCATGCACAACATGACCATGGCAAGGGTGGAGTCGCAGTTGACGAAGCACAGTGCAAGCAGGGCGATCGCCGGCAGGTAGTGGGCTGTGGGACGGGTGAGAACGAGCGAGAATTTTGGTTCGGTCTGTGTGTTGTGTTTCTTTCCGTTTTTTTGTATCCCAGTATAAACATATACTTACACACACACACACACACACACACACACACACACACACACACACACACACACACACACACACACACACACACACACACACACACACATTAGTAGCGCCACGCAAAATTTTCAGCCACTGTCCACTGAAAAGACTTTTCTTGTTATCTTTTACAAAATTCCTTCGCATAAACACACCATATCTACATTCACACATCATGAAAAGAGCATAGAAGGGAGGAGGAGAAAAACAAACAGGACGAAAGAACCATGGAAATAGAAAGAAACGAACCGACTGCAGTGGACAGCCTCCTGACCGCCCTGATGGACAAGACGCCCTTGGAGAACAGCTTGTCCATGAGGATCCCCCAGAGGATGCCGAAGACCCAGAGGATTAAGTACGGGAGGGCTGAGAGGATGCCGCTCTGCAGGGGAAGGAAAGGAGAAGGAAAGATAATAATGATGGTAGGAAGGAAAAGGGATAACGAGGGAGTAGATTGTAAGATATGATAATGAAAATGCTTAAATGATATATATAATGTTTTTGGGAGTTCGATGGAGGCAAAAATATAAAAATAAAAACACAGTTACTATTCACTACTTACACATAGCTTACTATTCCACTTGTTTTTTACATTAAAAAAAACAGAAAAAAAACAACTTTCGTGATTAGGATTCTGATAACGTCATTCATAAAAGATTTCTTGAATGGAGAGCCACCAGTTAGAAAACGCCAGCTGTATCACAATCATTATTTATCTATTTCTACTCGCTTGTTCATTCCGTTGCTCTTATTACTACAAGAGAACAATCCCTCTACTCACCTACGATCTACGATATACTGAATATACTGATATACTGAGGCGATATACTGAATATACTTTATAAGATACGAAAACTCGCAGTCGAAATCAACATTATACCTCCTGAACTTACACTATTCATATCAAAGTGCTGGATGTTGGCGAGGTATGTTGGCAGCTCCGTTAACAGCGTGTAGAAGCCGAAACTACCTCCAGTCATCATGAAAATACACGCCCACATAGGACCAGAGGTGGCGATCTCTCTCCAGGAAATCGATACAACCTGTTAAGTATTTTTTTTTTTTTTTTGTTATTCGTTATTCTTCACTTAAATCTGAATCATGTGTAACGTAATGGAGGAGATGAGGTCGTCTTTCGAGGGACTAAGAAATTCACACGACTCGGAAAGACTATTATTAGATTATCGCAAGATTTTCAATAATTAAGCAACACCATACGTGCCCCTCCGTACACGATGGTACACGTAAACATCGGAACACCCTCGTACCTCTGCCTTCTTGACGGTTTCCTGATGTCCCTGGATGTAGCTCAGCTCCGCCTGGGAGATCCTGGGGTGCTTCTCGGGCCTGTCGTGCGTCAGGAGGAACCAGGGGATCCCCCACAGGATCCCCAGGGCCCCGAAGACGTAGAAGACGGAGGGCCACCCCCCGAGGAACCCCACGGAGATCAACCAGCCGCTCACTGGCAGGGAAATGACGGTGCCGACCTGCATGCCTGGGGATTCAGTCAACGAACGGGTGAGTAAGGAGAAGTTGATAAATGGTGTCAAGGAATTAATGAATGGGTACGTGATATGACCGATTATAAGAGGAGGCTTTCTGCTTATTCATTATGATTATATTTTTCCTTTATCTTATATATTCATCTTATTTTATAACAACAGAATTTACGAATATGAGGTTTACCAGTGATTTTAAAGAAAAAATAACAGATTGTGCATTCTTTGTTTCGCCTCGAGATCTTAAGGGAAAAAAATAATAAATTACCTCCATAAACGAGGGGATTAATCTTTGCCTTTTCTTCGGGAGGAAACCAGGTCGCCATGATCGAATTCACTGCAGGTAACGACACCCCCTGCATAGGCAACAGGCAGCCTTTAGAACGAGGAGTTAAAACCCATTCCCATTTTTAAAATCTTTTTTTTCTATTTTCTATTTTTATTTTTATCTTTTTATTCTTTTTTATCTTTATCTTTATTTTATTTTATTTCATTCCATCATTTTTTTTCAATTTTTTCATCTTTTATTTTCATTTCATTATTCTTATTTCTTATTTATTTTATTTTATTCTATTTCATCTATTTATTTATTTTTATTTCCATCTTCACTCTCCCTTCAAGCCACCAATTTTATTGAGACCATTCAAGATAGATTATTCTATTTTAATCTACTTTATTCCAATTTATTTCAATCAAACCACTCAAAACAAACCAAAGCTCAGCCACCAGAACCGAGCGAGCCCTCCCCACGCCCCACCTGAGCGATCCCCATGGCGACCCGGGACGCCACGAAGAGCCCCGTGGAGGTCCTGGCGCAGAGAGGGGACAGGAGGGCGATGCAGGAGGACAAGACCGCCCCGAGACCCAGGACGAGCCGCCCACCGAGGTACTCCGACGCCCGCCCGCCCAGGAGGTTGGTGCACGTGTACCCGTAGAAGAACGCCCCCAGGATGAGGCCTTGGGTGGGCTCGTCCCAGTCGAACTCGCCTTCCTGCGGGAGGGGGGGAAGGGGGAAGGGGGGTTGTAGCGGGATGTGTTTGTGTATACATATATATGTATGTATGTATGTATATACATATGTATGTAATATATATAATACACAAACACACACACACACACACACACACACACACACACACACACAAACACACACACACACACAACACACACACACACACACACGCAAACACACACACACAACACACAATACACACACACACACACACACACACACACACACACACACAAACACACACACACACACACACACACACACAAACACACACACACACACACACACAACACACACACACACACACACACACACACACACACACACACACATACATGTATGTGTGTGTTTGTGGTGTGTATCGGGGCTTTTCCCTTTTGGAGTGTTTATGTGGGTACGAGTTTTGTGATCTATTATCGGTATGAAGGTGGGTATGATAAACGTAATCAATACATCAGTTACTATACAATTCGATTATGCAGTGAAATGATATCAATGTTCAAGGCAAGTGACACATATAAAGGAACAAACCGTAAAAAACATATTCATAATAAATAAACAAAGCCAAAAAAAATGAAACAATAAAAAACAAACACCCTACTTCTCAATGACAACATATTGAACACACACACACACCCAAACACCCTTCCTCCCACCCTCCCCCCCCCCAACCCCAACCCCCACCCTCCACCTACCCTCCCAACACACACACACACAAAACCCCCCCCCACACACCACCACCCTCCCCCCCCCCCCCTCCACCCTACCCTCCACCCCACACACCCCCCGCACCCACACACACACAAACACCCCCCCCCCCACAAACACACACCCAAACACCCATCCTCCCCTCCCACCCAACCTCCACCCCACCCCTCCCACCCACACCACCCTCCACTCCACCCACTCCACACCCTCCACCCATACCACCCACACCCACCCCCAACTCACGATATTCTGATCCTCGCCATCGGTCGCATTCCCCTTAACCGGACACACGTCGCCGCTGGAGTTGCCGCTGCCGGAGGTCTTCGTGGTCCCCGCCATGGCCACGATGGCTATGGAGAGGTTCACGCGAAGGGAGTATTCGACGCCGAGACCCAGGAACATGAGCACCACTAAGGTGTAGCGGGCGGCCCAGCGTTCTGCACGTGGGTAGAATGCGGTTGTTGTTATTATCGTTATTATTATGATTATTATTACTGTTATTACTACCTCTATCTTCAGCAGCAGCATCATTATTATTGTTATTGTTATTGTTACTATTACTATCATTATTATTATTATTATTATCATTATTGTTATCATTATTATTGATATTATTATTATCATTATTATTATTATTATTATCATTATTCTTATTCTTATTCTTATTCTTATTATCATTATTATTATTATTATTATTATTATTATTATTATCATTATCATTGTTATTATCATTATCATTATTGTCATCATCATCATCGTCACTATTATTGTTATTACTCTTACTATTATTATTATTATTATTACTTTCATTACTACCACAAATAGTAATATAATTGTTATTATCATTATTATCATTATTATCGGAACTATCATTATCACTGTTATTATTGTTATTATTAGTATCATCATTATAAGTATTGTTACCATTACTATTATTCCTATGATGATGATTATCGTTAACATTATCATTATTATTATCATTACAGTATTTATTATTTGCAGTAGCAATAGTAGTTGTAGTAGTAGTAGTAGTAGTAGTAATAGTAATAGTAGTAGTAGTAATTGTAGTAGCAATAGTAGTAATAGTAGTAGTATTAGTAGTAGCAGTAATTGTAGTAGTAATAGTAGTTGTAGTAAGTAGTGGTGGTGGTGTTGGCCGTAGTATTAGAAGTAACAACAGTAGCAGCAGTAGATAAGGACGAAGTAGTAGTAGTAGTAGTAGTAGTAGTAGTAGTAGTAGCAGTAGCAGTAGTAGTAGTGACAGTAGCAGCAGTACAAATATAAGCAGTAATAGTAGTAGTAATATTATTATTGTAGTTATTTCATTATCACCATTGTCATTATTAATGATATTACTATCATTATTATCAGAACTTCGCATTATTTTGATAAATAAATCTACAAAGATGATATTCAGCTGTGAAATATCAAGTAGCTAGGAATTATTATTTTTTTTAGATTATTAAGTTACAAAAGTTTTGTAAATATGAGTATTTAAGTGACATTTAATATACGGACTTTTATGTTTACTTTATATAGGTCGGTAGGTAAATGGCGCATGGAGGAAAATAGAGGGAGGGAGTGAGAGAAAAAAGGGGGAGAGAGGGAGACAGGGAAGAGAATGAAAGAAAGAAAGAGAGAAAGAACAAGAGAGAAATAGAGAGACTTATTAGCAAAACAATAATATACCTTTTTCCTCTCCATTCGTGCTGCCCGCTGACTTCCTCCGTTCATCTTCAACAACGTAAATTCCCTCCTTTCCCACTTCCTGCATGTGATCGGTGAGGTTTAGGCTGGACGCCATTTTAACTGTTGCCTCCTGGTTGAGAGAGAGAGAATAAGAGAGAGAGAGAGAGAGAGATGAATGGAGGAGAGAAGGAGAAAAGAGAGGAGAGAAAAAGAGAGAGAGGGAGAAGAAAAAGAGAAAGAGAGGGAGAGAGGAGAAGGGGAATGGAGGAGACAGAAAAGGGAGAATGAGAGGGAGAGAAAATGAGAAAGAGAGAAAGTAAAAGAGAGGGAGAAAGAAGGGGAATGAAGGGACAGAAAAGGGAGAATGAGAGGGAGAGAAATGAGAAGAGAGAGAGGTAAAAAGAGAGGGAGAATGGGAATAAAGAGAGAGAAAAAGGAGAAAGAGAGGGAGAAAACAGAAAGAGAGAAAGTAAAAGAGAGGGAGAAAGAAGGGGAATGGAGAGAAAAAGAGAAAGAGAGAAATTAAAAGAGAGAGAAAGAAAGAAAATAAAAGAGAGGTAGAAAGAAGGAACCAAAAAGAGAAAGTAAATAAAAGAGAGGGGAACCAAGTAAAAGAGATGTACAGAGAGAAAGGGAGAAAGAGAGGGAGAGAAAAAGAGAAAGTAAAAGAGAGGAAAAAGAATGGAGGGACGAGGGAAAAGAAGGAAAGAGAGAAAATGGAATGGAGGGAGAGAAAGAGAGAAATTAAAAGAGAAGGAGAGAGAAGGGGGGAATAGAGAGCGAAGAAGAGAGAAAGAGAGACCAATCGTAATCATTAATCACGAACCTGAATAATGGAGTAAAAGAAAAGAAAAGAAAAGAAAAAATATATATATAACGAAAAAGTAAAAAAAAAAGTATTGTTAACTATAGGAAAAGGCGTGATACAATACTGAAGATTCAAAACAGATATTTGGGATGAAGATACATATAAAGATTAAAGAAAATAACATGGTTTATCGTCCGTTAACTTTTTTTTCTTCTTGTCCATACTTAGTGCACAAAAATATTACCGTTATTTTATCATACTTCGTATTTCATTTAAAATATGCTAACTATAATATGTGAAATGTATGTTTCGATTTCCAATTTCTTTAACTCTTTCAACTTCTTACTGTACAGTAAAACAACAGAATAAAATAGTGTTTTTTGAAATTGTACAGTAAAACAACAGAAAAAATAGTGTTTTTTAACTTCAGAATCTATCCACTCTGCTCTATAATGTTGTGCTTTGTTGCCCTTCCCTCGCCGCCTATAATCCACTCAAATCATAATGGTTTTGAATTAATGGCTTATAATAAAGCCAGATAACATGGAGAGCATTAAAAAAGTAGGTCGAGAAGAAAAAAGGGAAACGCAATAGCTGGATACGTTTTAGACATCAAGGTCATATGGCGCAAAAACTTATCTCTAGGAATTGAGTTCTATGGCAAGGTGGCGACAACAGCTCTCGCATTACGTTTGTGCTTAAAAAAATAGTAATAATGAATAAATAAAAAAAGTATTGGTAAATATAGGAAAAGGCGTGATGCGATACTGAAGATTCGGAGACAAAACACAAGAAAAGGAGTGATTGTATACGTTTTAGACATTAAGGTCATTTAGCACCAAGAAATTATATATAGGAATTGATATCTAGAGCAAGGTACCAACAGCTCTCGCATTAATTTGTGCTTCAACTATGAAAAGAAAGTTACATATATATATATATATATATATATATATATATATATATATATATATATATATACTATATATATATATTGCGCGTATTCAGTCATTTTATTTTATCTTACCGATTTGGAAAACCATTCTCGTTATTATTGAAAAGCGCCAGGTTTTCCAACTATCACTTTTTCTGCTTAACAACCAATAATATAAACGGATGTTGAGTAAATTGCATGAACATTTAAATCCATAAGATTAAGATATGTTTGAACAATTATCTTTATAAGAAGGCTATACACTAGGCCTACGTGTTCTTTATAATGTTTCTTAGCCTCACGAGGGTCGAGAAAAAGTTATGAACCATTGACATAAAGAATCTTAATCCGATTGTTAATCTTTGTGAATATCCAATCAGTTCGATAACTTCCCATTCATAAAATACAAACACAAGAAAAAAAAAATCTTCACAAGAACCATTTGAACTTACTGTTTGTACTGATTTTACAAGACCATCAGTCAGACATGTTCACTCAGATCACCGCAGCTTGTGACTGATCAAATCTTAACACTCGAAGATACGTGAATATCAAAAATGTCCTTGTGCAACATCTGTGCGATACGTTAATTGATAGAGTTAATTGACTAGTTCAGATAAACTAATCATTGGAATTTTTATGACCGATAAAAGTTTTTGGTGATTTATTTTCTGTTTCTGATAACTGTACTGAGTATGCGTCCATACATACTGAAATCAATTTACACATTCTGTTTCTGTTTCTCTCTCTCTCTCTCTCTCTCTCTCTCTCTCTCTCTCTCTCTCTCTCTCTCTCTCTCTCTCTCTCTCTCTCTCTCTCTCTCTCTCTCTCTCCCTCCCTCCCTCCCTCCCTCCCTCCCTCCCCTCCTCCCTCCCTCCCTCCCTCTCTCTCTCTCTCTCTCTCTCTCTCTCTCTCTCTCTCTCTCTTCTCTCTCTCTCACACACACACACACACACACACACACACAAACACACACACACACACAGATGTGTTCGCGTGCGTGTGTATGAGATTTTGGATCTAGATATACGTTTTTGCTTCAACTACAGAATCACCAACCACAGACAGACAAACTGGGCCTCTAAATGCGAATATATGGTGTATTTTAAGTAGTGCATGATGAATCACACAGAAGGCATACCTTTCCACTGATGTCCACGTGAATTTCGCTAATGAGTCAGATTGACACTCGCAAAATATCCAGCTTAGCATTTTCTTCACCCATGCCTTTTGGTTTCTTCTCTTCTCTTCGTTTTTCCTTTGGTATATTTATCTTTCTGTTTCTTATTTTCTTGTATTTTCGTATTTGCTTCTCTGCTCCGGTACACAGATCTGAAGATGAAATATACTTGAGTTTAGAAATTATGTTTTCTTGTTTTTAATAAGGTTGGTGTTTCTGTGAGTCATAGATGAACACACACACACACGCACACACACACACACACACACACACACACACACACACACACACACACACACACACACACACACACACACACACACACACACATACACACACACACATACACAATACCTTTAAATAAGTAAAGTAGAATGGAAATGAAGTACAGAAATCATAACAAAGACAAATATATATCCAAAAAAAAATCAAAGCACTTATAAAATATGTTCACCATCGAGAGATACTCCTTAAAGCAAATTATCTTCATAAAATGGCAATTCACCACAACGCCAATACTCACAAATAACCATAATACAACCTAATTAAAACCACAATTCAACCTAATTAAAAATATCAATAGCCTATCAATTATCATTATCGGTATTGTAATGACAGACAGCTCAATTATGCGGTTCTGGTTCAACAAATGAATAAATAATTTACGATGTAGATGACTGACTGGCTGACTAACTGACTGATCGAATGACTCGTTGGTGACTGACTGACGGAGTGACTGACTGACTGACTGACGGAGAGGCTGACTAACTGACTGATCGAATGACTCGTCTGACTGACTGGAAGAGGCTGACTAACTGACTGGACTACTGACTGACGGAGTGACTGACTGACTGGAACTGACTAACCTGACTGACTTGACTGACTGATTGACTGACTGACTGAGGTGACTGACTGACGACTGACTGACTGACTGACTGACTGACTGGGACTGACTGACTGACACTGACTGACTGACTCTGACTTGACACTGACGACTGGACTGACTGACTGACTAACTGACTGACTGAGACCTTTGGCGACTAACTGACTGACCGATTGACTCGTTGGCCAACTGACTGACAGACTGACTGACTGACTGACTGACAGAGAGACCGATTTACTGACTGGTTAACTGACAGTCTGACTGATTGACTGAGTGAATGATTATGGTGGATTGGCACTTGACTGACTGTGACAACAACGGCGTTCACGATGACAAGAACGTCTAAAGAAAAGCTAAAATAAAAAGCATCTTGTCATTAGCTTATATGACCAAAAATTAATACTTACCCAAACATGATAAGTGCCAAAAAAACTATGAAAACTAAAAAAAAAAAAACGTTAAT